AAAGGATATTTTCCGGCATGTATGTTGAGGGCTTCATTAGAAGAACTGAAATATATATAATAAATGATAAAATAAGTATTTAAAATAAATTAATCCAATTTTCCTGAATTATAATTGTGTGGGGTTACAGCTTTGCAAGGTACCTTGCATAATAATAATCTGAATGATATTAATATATATAAATAGATTTTAGATATCTAAACTATTTACCTGATGATAATTGTTTGGGTATTCATTTCAAGGGAACTGCAAATAATAATCATAATAATTTAAAATAATCTACATTGTCCTAATATGATAAATTGTTCATATACTTTCCGTTTGTTGGGAACTAAAATAATAGTAATAATATGTTATTTTAAATAATAATAATTTTCCTAAATGATAAATTGTTCAGGTACATTCATTTGGAATGGACTGCAAATAATAATAATAATAATATAATAATTAAAATAAATAATAATAATATTTTAAAATAAATAATAATACTTTTCCTGAATGATAAATTGTTCAGGTACATTCATTTGGAGGGGAAACTGCAAATAATAATAATAATAATAAATATTTTTTAAAAATTGCAAATAATAATAATCCATCATGATCAACAATTAAGGAGGCATACATGTTTTTTCCAAGGCACATTGTATAACCTCATCCCTTTCTGATGCTCTTTCCCCCCAAATAACAAAACTAAAGCCCAATCTATCCAGAGAATTCAAATCCAATAGATAGAGAAGATTCTCCTAAAATAGCCCCAGATCCTAATAAGGCCAGGGCTCCCCCCCCCCCCTCCCCACGCGTGTTTCTCATCCCCACCCAAAAAGACAGATCCCTGCAAGGTTGTTTTTTTCACCCCCAAAGAGGTTGCAAAGAAGCAAACCCACTTACCTTTGAGAAGGAGGGGGAATCAGTGTGACACCTTTCCACGCGTGGGGGCTTCTTGGGTGGATCCGGATGGGGAAAGAGCTGGGCTTGATTTCTCCCCACCAAAAAAAGAAAAGATCTTGTCCCTTTTTTTCCCCCTCCTTCCTTGTGGATTTGGGGAGGGAGGAAAGTCCACGCCACGCAGGACCGTGGATCTTTGGACCCTCCGAGAAGGAGGAGGAAAGGAGGAGAAACTCTTCCGTGGGTCTTCTCTCTCTCTTTTTTGCTGGAAGGGAGGAGCCTCTGTTATAGGAACGAGGAGAGTAAGAGGGGCCTTGTCTGTGGGAGAAAAGAATTATGAAGGAAGGAAGTACTGAAGTAAGTATGTACGTAGAGAAGAAGGAAGGAAAAGTCAAGAAGGAAGGAAGGAAGGAATGAAGGAGAAGGAAGAAGGGAAAAGGAGGAAGGAAGAAAGGAGGAGAGAAACTGGATTTACATGGGATTTTTTTCTCTCCTCCTCTTCTCTATTTGGACTACAACTCCCAAGCCACCCATAGTGAGCCTGGGCTGCAGAGTCCCAGGGTGCATTTGATCCCACTTTTATCTGCCATAGTTCAGGGCTGTGGGAGTTATAGTTTCACAAGGGCTGCAGCCTTCCCTGCTCAAAGAGGGCTTGGGCTTTTCCCAAAATCCCCATAAGGCATGGCATTTTGGCAGAGAAGGCGAAAGACCTTGGGAAACAACAATTCCCAAGCTGCCATAGCACTGAGCTACAGCAGCTCAAACTTATGTGTCCAAATTTCAGCAGAGAAGGAGGAAGAGCATGGGAAACTACAGCTCCCAGGCTTCCATAGCATTTACTCAAGGCAGCTCAAACTCCTGCGTCCAGATTTCGGCAGAGAAGGTGAAAGACCTTGGGAAACTACTACCCCCAGGCTTCCATAGCTTAGAGCCATGGCAACTCAAACCCATGATTCCAGATTTCGGCAGAGAAGGCAAAAGACCTTGGGAAACTACAACTCCCAGGCTTCCATAGCATTGAGCCACAGCAGTTCAAACTCATGCAGCCACATTTTGGCAGAGAAGGCGAAAGACCTTGGGAAACTACAATTCCCAAGCTTTTATAGCACTGAGTCAGGGCAGTTCAAACTGCCGCATCCACATTTTTGCAGAGAAAGCAAAAGACCTTGGGAAACTACAACTCTCAGGCTTCCATAGAATTTAGTCCAGGGCAGTTCAAGTGTGAGTGTGGGGTTGAGCTGCGTCAAAGTAGATGCACCTCGACAATAATGCTTCTGCCTGGCCATAGAGGAAGCTGGCCCTCCTGCATGGGGGGGGGGGGGGGGGGGGGGGGGGGGGGGGGGGGGGGGGATGATGGGAGTTGCAGACCAACAGGGGCTTTTTCTTGGGCATCTACGCTGAAATATGCATGCTGTATTGAGTTGCTGTATCTCAAACGTGGGTGCTGGGATTTGTAGTTTTGTGAGGGACCAGCTTTTTTGGTAAGAGAGCCAAAAGACCTTGTCAACTACAACTCCCAGGTTTCCATAACATTTGAGCGACCACAGTTCAAAGTTGTGCATCGACATTTTGGAAGAGAAGGCGAAAGACCTTGTCAAGCTACAACTCCCAGGAATCTACAGCATTGAGCTCCAGCAGTTCAAATGGTGTTAAACTGCATCAATTCTACAGTGTAGATGCGCCCCAGATCCTGCGATTCATGGTGATGGGTGATTCCTTGCGTATATAATTGCTGGGCAGGAAATGAATCATGGAGGGGATAATCACCCTTGGAAATGCCTGGAATGTGGGAAGAGCTTCAAACCAATCTCAGGAGGAACCAAAATATTCATCCAGGGAGGAAAAAACACCCCGGGGGAGGGGGATCCACACTGTAGATTTAATGCAGTTTAACGCCGCTTTAACTGCTATGGCTCAGTGCTATGGAATCTTGGGATTTGTAGTTTGGTGAAGCACCAACACCATTTGGCAGAGAAGGCCAAAGACCTTGTAAAACTACAGCTCCCAGTATTCCATAGCATCGAACCAAGGCAATTAAAGTGGTTTCAAACCGCATTCATTCTACTGTGTAGTAATTCCCCATGTTACAATAATGCACCCAAAAACATCCATCAGGGGCTTGCCTTATTAATATCCTTACCATCCACATATATATATATATATATACATACATACATACATACACACACATACACATACTAGCTTGGGTACCTGGCATTGCCCGAGTTATTTGAAAAATTTGATTTTTTTAGTTTTACAAAATGCATAAAGTTGTGGGTGAACTACAACTCACATCATGCCAGGTTAACCCCCTGAAACTCTATCGGTACTTAGTTTGTCATGTTGGGCAAGTTCGCTCTAGATGCAGCATTGGCAGGGTCCTCTGGTAGGAGTTGTAAACTACAACTCCCGCCATGCAGGGTAAACTACAACTCCCACCATGGTGAGTCAGTCCCCTCAAACCCCTACAGTACGTTCAGTTGGTCATGGTGGTTCTGTGTGCCAAGTTTGGTCTCGGTTTATTGTCGATGGTGGTCACAGTGTCTCCAGTTGTAGATGAACTACAACTCCCAGAAAAAGAAGGTTCGTTCCATGTATTGTCAACGGCTTTCATGGCTGGATGCACTGGGTTGTTGTAGTTTTTTTGGGCTATATGGCCATGTTCTAGAAGCATTCTCTCCTGACGTTTCGTCTGCATCTATGGCAAGCATCCTCAGAGGTTGTGAGGACGCTTGCCGTAGATGCAGGCGAAATGACAGGAGAAAATGCTTCTAGAACATGGTCATATAGCCCGAAAAACCTACAACAACCCAAGATTAGTTCCCCTCAAACCCTTTCAGTATATTGAGTTGGTCATGGGGGTTCTGTGTGCCAAGTTTGATTCAGGTCCCTCATTGGTAGGGTCACCGTTTCACTGGTTGTAGGAGAATTGACACCAAATTTGGACACAATACACCTATCAGGCCAGCAAGTGACCATCACTCATGAAAACACTGAAAAACACAGTGGATGAGACTTAAACAGCCCAAAAATAAAAATTACAATACAACGCATGCGCAAAACCACATATATACACATATACACGTACATACACACACAAAACACATATACACAGACTGGGCCACAGCAACGCAAGGCAGGGGATAGCTAGTACTTTAAATAAAGACATTTTTTTAAAAAATCCTGCACTGAAAAGCTTCCATGAAGCCACTCCATGGCAGTTGGGTTCAAATTCGGGGAGCGGCGTGAGCTTCCACTGTTAGCCCCAGCTTCTGCCAACCAAGCAGTTCGAAAACATGCAAATTTGAGTAGATCAATAGGTACTGCTCCGGTGGGAAGGTAATGGTGCTCCATGCAGTCATGCCGGCCACATGACCTTGGAGGTGTCTACGGACAACGCCGGCTCTTCGGCTTAGAAATGGAGATGAGCACCACACCCCAGAATCGGACACGACTGGACTTCATATCAGGCGAAAACCTTTACCTTTAGGACATGTGTGTGTTTAAAAATTACTTGACTACAACAGGTTGCAATAGCCCAAAACAAGCCGAATGCATCCACGACAGTGGAACTTGGAAAGCAATTCTGGTTTTACAGGATTCCCAACTCTTCTTCTGTTTTCAAACCCTATCTTACAAACAAATGTAAAAGCACAAAGGACAAAGACATTTTGGACTGAATACAGGATGATTTACGTAATGCAGCTTAACATTTCAGGATTTGATTGAAACAGGCTCAGAAACAGTAAGGATTTTCTGGTTGCAGTACACTATTTCAGCTCAAAAAAGTAAAATAAAAAGAGGGGGGCCAAATGTGTGATTGTTGCTATGGAAACAGGATCTACTTTAAGGACAAGCTTCACCTCTAGCAGACGCTGTTGTAAGCCAAGCTAAACTGTGCCAGGACTCAGAAAACGTTTATTAATGTGGTAAGTGGTGGTTATAGCATAACGCAATTGCAAACTAGTTATTATTCAATCTTGAACCAAGGGTGCATCTGCACTGCAGAACTAATGCAGTTTGATACCACATGAACTGCTATTGGCCAGTGCTACGGAATCTTGGGATGTATAGTTCGTTAAGGCACCAGCTTTCTTTAGCAGAGGAGACCTTAGAATCATAGAATCAAAGAGTTGGAAGAGACCTCATGGGCCATCCAGTCCAACCCCCTGCCAAGAAGCAGGAATATTGCATTCAAATCATCCCTGACAGATGGCCATCCAGCCTCTGTTTAAAAGCTTCCAAAGAAGGAGCCTCCACCACACTCCGGGGCAGAGAGTTCCACTGCTGAACGGCTCTCACAGTCAGGAAGTTCTTCCTCATTTTCAGATGGAATCTCCTCTCTTGTAGTTTGAAGCCATTGTTCCGCGTCCTAGTCTCCAAGGAAGCAGAAAACAAGCTTGCTCCCTCCTCCCTGTGGCTTCCTCTCACATATTTATACATGGCTATCATATCTCCTCTCAGCCTTCTCTTCTTCAGGCTAAACATGCCCAGCTCCTTAAGCCGCTCCTCATAGGGTTTGTTCTCCAGATCCTTTATCATTTTAGTCGCCCTTCTCTGGACACAAACTGCAACTCACAGAATTATACAGCATTGCAAATCAGTTTTCAATTCATATGTTCTTGGGAAGACTTGAGATGTTTATATAATCACCCATCCAGATCTTTTTTTAAAAAGCAGTGCTTACTACTCTATCCCATCCCCTTTATATATGAAGCCAAGTGAGGAACCAACTCTATTAGTTGGTGGATTAGATGATTCTTATGACCAGGCTTCCAATCCCCGCTTGGCCATGAAACCCTAATCGTTAATGTTGGGCAAGCTGTTCTCTCAGCCCCAGAAATGTTTGTGATTTGATAGGAAACAGGAAGAGATCTGTTATGAGAGTTTCGCTGAACCCAGGGACAGTTGTGTTTGCTTGCCACATAAATTGTGACTAGAAAGCTAAATTCTTGCAAAATTGAAAGAATGGCATTATCATTTGGGAGGGGAAATAAGGGCAAGATCCACTTCTTGCTGCGAGCCCCCGGTGGCGCAGTGGGTTAAACCCCTGTGCCGGCAGGACTGAAGACCGACAGGTCGCAGGTTCAAATCCGGGGAGAGGAGGATGAGCTCCCTCTATCGGCTCCAGCTCCTCATGCGGGGACATGAGAGAAGCCTCCCACAAGGATGATAAAACATCAAAACATCCAGGCATCCCCTGGGCAACGTCCTTGCAGACGGCAAATTCTCTCACACCAGAAGCGACTTGCAGTTTCTCAAGTCACTCGACACACAAAAAAACCAAAAAAGTTCTTGCTGCAGTGGAATGCTTTCCTTCAGGACACTCCTAGCTTAGCCTTTTAGAAACTTAACTTTATATACTCTAGTATAAGCAGTTTTTCATCCCTTTTTAGGCTGAAAAAGCCTCCGACTTATACTCGAATCAAGGTTATTATTTTAGTTATTTTTATTATTTATTATTTTACTCTATTACTATGACATTTACATTTGACTCTTTTTACATTATTTTACTGTTATGAGTTATTATTTTACTCTATTATATTTACATTATTTTACTTATTAAACTATTATTACATTTACTCTATTATAATTTATTATTTTATTCTAATACTATTCCATTTATTTTACTTTATAATTATTACATTATTTTACTCTATTTATTAAACTATTATTGTTATACATATATTTTAGTCTATTACCATTATTTATTTCCATTCTTTTACTCTAATATTATTTTTATTACACTTATTATCATAGAATCAAAGAGTTGGAAGAGACCTCATGGGCCATCCAGTCCAACCCCCTGCCAAGAAGCAGGAATATTGTATTCAAAGCACCCCTGACAGATGGCCATCCAGCCAGTTTAAAAGCTTCCAAAGGAGCCTCCACCACACTCTGGGGCAGAGAGTTCCACTGCTGAACGGTTCTCACAGTCAGGAAGTTCTTCGTCATGTTCAGATGGAATCTCCTTTCTTGTAGTTTGAAGCCATTGTTTCGTGTCCTAGTCTCCAGGGAAGCAGAAAACAAGCTTGCTCCCTCCTCCCTGTGGCTCCCTCTCACATATTTATACATGGCTAAATATCTATTATTGGAAAGAAATGTAAGCACATTTACATTGAAAGTTAGAATGATTTAATCAGATGGACAATCTTATCTTATATTACAATTATATGTATTCAAAAACATTTAACCAATTGATGCCTCGATTAATGTAATTTGATTGGTATCCATTTTATTTTTAAAATTTCCCACCAGCTGCCTCATTTCCCACCCTCTGCTTATACTTGAGTCAATACGTTTTCCCAGTTTTTTGTGGTAAAATTAGGTGCCTTGGCTTATATTTAGACCAGCTTATAATCGTATTTATACATTAATCGGAAACTGCCAACAGCCAATGCATATACATGAGGGATCTACCAGAGGGACTAAAACACTCTTCTCTCTCCACTGGAGAACTACATTTCCCTATAAAGCTGGCCAGGTCAAACTTTCTGCAATGAGAAAGTAATTTGGATTAAGATTTATCCACTCAGCTGAGAACAGCAGATTTGTATCTTCTGCTGTTGTGTTTTAATTTCAGACTGATATTTTTATATTTTGGCACACCTCCCTTCTGACGCACTAGAAGACGTTACATCTTTAAAAACGGTCTCAGCCTCCATTTGTTGTTTATTTTTAAGCACTCAGCACTGACTCACTGTCACACATCTTCATCTAACATGGAGAGGGGAAGAAACATATGCTGTAAAGAATGAAGCCACACCAGGGAAAGGTTATTCACAAGACTAGTTTAATTCAACACCCATAACACTGGGTTCCTTTATTACCAAAAAATAAAATAAAGAGGGCATCAAAGGGGGAAGAAAGAACAAGCCACGGCTAAAACATTTGTCGATCTTGCACTACTAATTTACCTGCCAGAAGAAACCAGCTGGGACAGGGGCTTCATATGTTAACATGCAAACAAAATTTTTAAAAGGATGGGGAACACGCATAAGAAAAATACAGAAGCCTTAAAAATTGTCATGAATGGCCATACAAAAAAAAAATGTATGTGCATTCAATCCCTCCTCCCAAAAGTTTTTTCCCCCTTGTACAACATAACATAATTCTAAATGCCAGAAATTCACAGAGCACCGCCATCAAAACTCCTCTTGCTTTTGTGCCTCCCGTCGCAGGAAGATGGTCACCGGGTAAGTGCTGATGTGAAGAGGAAGCAGGGCAAAGCCAACAGACAGGTGAAGTCCCCAAATTGTCCTGGCAGGAAGACAGGCAGGCAGTGGGAATCCATTCGAACATGTGTCTCGCATGCAGGTGTCGGTAGTGGGACCCTCTGTTATCTTCTTAAATGCCGGCTGGGCAACGGGACAGTCAACCTGAGGGCTTCTCACGTGACTCTAGGGAGCTCAGGAGACCCCGTTCTCACTTGGACAGCAACTCTTCCATCCCTGCTGCAGGATTTGGATTATTGGGGCGTGTTCGTGTTTTGCAGGCTGCCGGTCCCCTCGTTCTCCATCAGGTGAAATTAAAGGTGAAGTTTCAGGGAAGTGGAGGAGGTCAGGAACTAAAACCATGGTGAACGTAGAGAGGGAAGGGGTCCCCCTTTATCGAGTCTGTTCAACTGTTAAGAGACAATGACGAGTGTTAGCCAGAACTAAACTTCTGTTTTAGACGTCAACTCACATAATTCCTACTCATCATTTCCAAAGATTTTCTATAATTTCCCAAACAACCTTTTTTTCCTAGGTTGTTGTAGGTTTTTTGTAGGCTATATGGCCATGTTCTAATGGCATTTTTCTCCTGACGTTTCGCCTGCATCTATGGCAAGCATCTCAGAGGTAGTGAGGTCTGTTGGAACTAGGAAAAATGGTTTATATATCTGTGGAATGACCAGGGTGGGACAAAGTTCTCTTGTCTGTTGGAGACAGGTGTGAATGTTTCAACTGATCATCTTGATTAGCATTTGATTGCTTGGCAGTGCCTGGAGCAATCCTTTGTTGAGAGATGATTAGATGTCCTTGTTTGTTTCCTCTCTGTTGTTGTGCTGTTCTAATTTTGGAGTTTTTTTAATACTGGTAGCCAGATTTTGTTCATTTTCATGGTTTCCTCCTTTCTGTTGAAATTGTCCACATGCTTGTGGATTTCAATGGCTTCTCAGTGTGGTCTGACATGGTGGTTGTGAGAGTGGTCCAGCATTTCTGTGTTCTCAAATAATATGCTGTGTCCAGGTTGGTCCAGGTTGAGTCCTTTGTCCCACCCTGGTCATTCCACAGATATATAAACCCTTTTTCCTAGTTCCAACAGACCTCACTACCTCTGAGGATGCTTGCCATAGATGCACGCAAAACGTCAGGAGAAAAATGCCTTTAGAAGATGGCCATATAGCCTGAAAAAACCTACAACAACCCAGTGATTCCGGCCATGAAAGCCTTTGACAATAAATTAAACCTTTTTTTCCTTTCAGTATGACTGGCAGATTAATTGTTTTTGAGAGCAGTGGCCCTGTTTATTTCTGCTCCTGCTGCAGCTGCTCTGGGTTGTTTGGGAGCCATCTAGGCACTATACCTATTCCTGATAGATGTTCAGCACTCAAAGAGGTCCTATACAGCCCACTGTGAAGAATCTACCCAGTACTTTGCAAATTAAGTCATTAGGAAGTATTCTGATATGGCTATTACAGATTATTTATTTATTTACCATTTTTATATCCCACCCTTCTCACCCCAAAGGGTATTCAGAGCGGCATTTACACATAAGCAAAAATTAAATGCCACAAAAACTTTCAATTAAAATAAACATAGAGTTGTTTTGAGTTTTCTGGGCTATATGGCCATGTTCCAGAAGCATTCTCTCCTGACGTTTCACCTGCATCTATGACAGGCATCCCCAGCAGTTGTGAGGTCTGCTGGAAACTAGGAAAGTGGGGTTTATATATCTGTGGAATGATGTCCAGGATGGGAGAAAGAACTCTTGTTTACCTGAGGCAAGTGCAAATGTTGCAATTGGCTATCTTATTTATTTACGATGCTTATATCTCGCCTTTCTCAAACCCGAAGGTGACTCAAGGCTTACAACAAGGCAGCATTTTGATGCTTATCAATATACAATTAACAGAATTAAAAATACACTGAATTGCCTTGCAGCTTCAAAGCCTAGCTCAGTGGTTCTCAGCCTGGGATCCCCAGATGTTTTTGGCCTACAACTCCCAGAAATCCTAACAACTGATAAACTGGCTGAGATTTCTGGGAGTTGTAGGCCAAAAACATCTGGGGACCCCAGGTTGAGAACCACTGCTGGTTGCTGCCTGTGGGATTCTTTGGTGGGAAGTGTTAGCTGACCCCGATTGGTTCTTGTATGGAATTCTCATTTTTCCTGTTAGGAATTGTAGGAGTTTGCCCATGCCTTTCTCTAGCTAATCTAAACCATAATTCAACTAATTCAATCACCCTTGCCAGTTCATGCCTTCTCCAAGCCCCAGTTGACTATTAAGCTCAACCAAGCACCGGAAATTTCCCTCCTTCCTCATCCCCCTCCTGCCAACATGCAGCACTCACTGTAGGAGGAGATGTCAATCTCGTCAGGAAGCTCACTGATGTTGACCTCAAAGCGGTCCTGCACCTCGTTGAGAATCTTGGCGTCGTTTTCATCCGACACGAAAGTGATCGCCAAGCCCTTGGTGCCGAAGCGCCCAGCACGCGCCACCTGCAGGATTCACAAAGGAAAAATCAAGATTTTGTGCCGGCACAGGACACTTCAGGCACTTCAATCCAGCTCTCCCCACAATTTAACAGAGGACCCAAAAGGAAAGACAACCAAGACACAATTTAAAAAAAATGTATGTAGGCTGACATTAAATAATCTTCAGGTTTCAAGGCTTTTGAAACCCTGGGAGTTGTAGTTTTCTAAGGTCTTTAGTCTTTTCTCCCAGAGTGCTGGGGCCTCACTAAACTACAACTCCCAAAAATTCGACAGGTAACAGCAAACCCTATTGAAATAAAAAAAAAAAACCTATGAAAGCCCACTAAGGCCAAGAGTGCTGCTCAGGGCTGAAAGAAACATCAGCAAGTCAGAGACTCTAGTCTAGCAACCTCATCAGGGCAGCTCTACCTTGGGATTTATAAACATGTGTCTCCCCACTTCCAGGACCTATGGACCTCAACTCACCCGGTGCAGGTAAGTGTCTGAATCTTCTGGCATGTCGTAATTGAAAGCGATATTGACCCGCTCAATGTCCATGCCACGACCAAAGAGATTCGTGGCCACCAAGATACGGCGCTGGAAATCCTTGAACTGCTGGTACCGTGACAACCTGCAAGAAAAAAAAAGACTCCCATATGCACACAAAGCAAGTTAGCTACCTCTTCTTCCCTAGAAATACTGTGTTTCTTTAATTCTAAGACTCAGTTTTTTCTCCTAGATCAGTGGTTCTCAACCTGTGGGTCCCCTGATGTTTTGGCCTTCAACTCCCAGAAATCATAACAGTTGGTAAACTACCTGGGATTTCTGGGAGTTGTAGGCCAAAACACCTGGGGACCCACAGGTTGAGAACCACTGCCTTAGATAAACATCTCTAAAAATGAGGGACGTCTTAGAATGGCAGGTTTATCTTAACAATGGATGAAATATGACACCTCTTATTAACAAGGGACCAAAAGAAAACTGTCACTCACGCTTTGCTAATCTGGACACCACACCTTTACCCAGCTCTCTCTTTTTTTTTTTTAATCGTGAAAGTCACTTCTGGTGTTGAGAGAATTGGCTGTCTGCCAGGACATTGCCTAGGGGATGTCCGGATGTTTTACCATCCACATGGAGCTCACTGAAGTCAGCAATGTTCCTCCCTTTATAAAAACGTTTGCCAATGCCTGGTGTAGATTTGCCCTATGTCTACTTTCTCGGGTCAGATTAACACCTCATCACTGTACCCACAAGTTTTGCATTTCTCTGACTATTCACACACACAGGGCCAAAAGAGGCAGGGTCAGGTGAATTGGCATAATGTCAATTCGCTCTTACACCCTTTAAGGGCACTTAATAGAGCCCCATCCTGCCTTAACCACAATCCCTCCTTCTTTTCTCTGGTCATGCAGGCACCTTTGATGGTTTGATTTATGGGGTGGAGTGAGGTTTTTAAAACACAATATATATATATAAAAACATTTGGCATGTCTAACAGAAATGCTGCAGTGTACAATAATATGGCTACTTGATTTGGAACATCTTTACAACATTTCTGGTTCAGACGAATGCTAGTTGCTAATATTTTATACACTGCTTCATTCATGTCCCTGAACAGGAAGTTGGAGCTGACAGACAGGAGCTCATCCCATCTCATGGATTCGAATCGCCAACCTTCAGGTCCGAAGTCTAGCCAGCACAACGGTTTAACACCAGGATTGTGGCGCAGCTGGCTGAGTGTCAGCTGCATCAAGATCACTCTGACCGAAAGGTCATGAAGAGTGGTTTTCCAACAAATTGTGTAGCCTGTTGTCGACCTTTGCAACCCAAAAGACAGTTGCATCTGTCAAGTAGGAAAATTAGTTATCACCTTAAAGTGTGGGTAGGCTAAATTAACTAATTTACGAGGCCATAAAAAGACTCCAGCAAAAGCATGCGGGGAATGCGGAAGTACATCAGTGTCGCAGATGGACGATGAAAGCGACAGCTCCCCTGGTGGCCAGAAAAAGTTAAATAGCCTCTGTGTATGCCTGTATATGTTGTAAGTCAAAATTGGCATTGAATGTTTGCCATATATGTGTACACTGTAATCCGCCCTGAGTCCCCTGTGGGGTGAGGGCAGAATATAAATGCTGTAAATAAATTAACCCATTGCACCACCATGGCTCAGCTCTCACAGAGCGTTTGATTTGAATTCCTTCCCAATAAGTCTATGAAGTTTTCAATCCAAACCTATCACCCCAGAAGGAATGTGAATTTATCCTCAATTGCTGGATCCTGACCCATAAAACAGCAATAGGACACATCCTGCTAAATAGAGGGACATAGCTTAATGGTTTCCAATATTTCAAACAAGGTCTTTGGGGTCACAAAACATGGACCAACACAAAAACAAGTTTTCACTACTGCTTCCAAATCAAAATAATTATCTGTCACATTCCATGTGGGCCTAGAAAGGATCTGTTAAGTCTTCCTACTGCCAACGTACAGTTGGCAAATGCCTGCTGAATCTCAGCATCAATTACATATGCAGGGTCCACTGCTCAGCGCTTAAGAGGAACTTCACAGAACAGAATCAGAGACTCTAGTCTGAGCAAGCTCATCATTGCAGAGGAGACCCTCAGATGACTCCTTCCCTTAGGCCCTTCTCACCTCTCTTCCTGAGGCATGCCCCGGTGTATGGCAATGGCAGGGAAGTTCTGCTCCACCAGCAGCTGAGCGAGTGCAATGCACCGCTGCACAGACTTCACAAAGATGACCACCTAGATGAGAAAAGGAAAGGTCAACCACCGCTGTCAGCAGCAAGGAGGGACAGGAACCTTGTTTTTCTTACCTATGGCAAATATAGTAAGCCCTCCACATTTGCAGGCTTTAGTTGTGAAGATCTGATTACTTTAATGATTAATTAATATCACAGGAGCCCTGTGCACCCCAGCTCCAGCAAATGTGGAGGGATACTTTTACCATCCTGCTGAACCCCACTGCAAAACCTGTCAGGATAAGCCTCAAAACTTCATTCACAGAAAGAACCCAAATGTCCCACAGGCAAACTACCCGAGTCTGTTCCTACGTGCTCAAAGCTTAGTTAAAATTTTGTATCCAACCTTCCTGACTTGGTAACTTTTGGTTCAGAGCTTGGAAAGATTAGCATTAGTGTTAATGCATTAATTTTAAATCCGGAGGGACTCATAAACATGAATTATAATTAGTACTCATTAATTTGTTCAAAAGTATCATTTGTTACAAATGGTAACAAATCAAGTAATAATTTTAAACTCTAAATACTCATTAGAGTGGCTGCTCATTTTATATTTGTTTCTTAGATGAAATTACTCCCAATATCCAAACCAACGTATTAAGCAGCATTTGTCTTTCATTTTTAGGGACTGGAAGTAATAGGCTCCCTTAAAGTCCAGGCAGGATTGGCATGGAAGGTAAGCTCTGGTTTGCAGCCTGGAAAATCAATGCATCAAGGCTCACTTTCAAGAGCTCTGATATGCTTTTAAAAGCTGACATCCTGCGGCAAATTGGTAATATTTACGCCTCGTTCACGGACTCTGCTTTGATCCAATCCCAAATCGCTACTTCCGCCTCCCAAGACCGGTTCCTCCTCCCTCATCCTTGAAGTGGGGCCCACCTCCCCAAGGCACCTGATTGAACTCCAGTACATCAAGCAGATCAAACAGCTTGCGGTTCTTCTCGTTGTCTTTCAGTTTGACATAGTACTGCTGCAGACCGTGCAGCGTCAGCTTGGTCTCATCGTCCACGAAGATCTCCATGGGCTGAGGAGCAAACCCAGGGCCGGTTAGACCAGGGCAAGGCAGACCTGGGTTTGGAGGGAGGGGTGAGGGGAGGGCGAAAAGCATGGACGGGCCCAGCAACAGCATTTTCCCCTGCCACAGACACACCTGGCTTCTGCAGTCCCTCAAGAAATGCGCAGTAAGCAAAGTGGCAACCCACCCTTTCTGCAGTCAACAAACCCAAGCAGCCCAAAGCTTCTAAGGAGGAAGATTCTCCCTATTTGCTAACGTTTTCTCTAAAGCACCCTGTGGCTTTAAAAAAAGGCTTTCCCTTTGCAAAGCACTAATGTTTTATCTATCTTTGCAGGATCTGAACTTGACAAACAAGCCACCCACTAAAGAACATGTCTTCATATATGTGAAACGGAAAAAAAAATGACAGAACTTGCGTAGGGAAAGTGACTAGAGCTTGTTCCAAGAGCTGCAACCACCCAGACTATGCTGCCCTTAACCATCCTATCAAAGGGTTCCTCCAGGCTCACATCCCAATTCCCAAAATGTATCAGCTGTCTAGTATCAAAAGCCACAAAAGAGCAAGGACAATGGGAGTTGCCCCTTCTATTTTCCTAAACAAGCACAGAAAACCACTCTATCTGATTCATTCCCAAATAAAGAATACTGGCCTCAAAGAGATAACTAGCCGAAATGCTTTTTCTTGCACTGAATCTTCCCAAGATCAATACTGAGATGAGCTCCACCCCTTTCCTGCTGTGTAACTAGATGGCTCCYGCAAAGCAGTTCCCTTCCTTCCATCCTCCCCCCCCCCCCACTTGCCCAGGGATGCCCTTGAAATTGCCACTTTCCCACAAGGCAGAAGGAGAAGGAAAAGGGGAATAATCAAAAACAGAATGACGCGCTTTTGCCAGTTCAGAACTGAAAAAAGGATAAAACTTCTCCTCCAGGTCACCAGGCGTCCGCTCCACTGGCTGCCGCTGATCTCTCCGATCCTCCAAGGAGTCCTTCGCCGCAGGTCTCCAGAGTGCCAGCCACAGTGAATGGGCAGGAGGGACAGGGCAGGGAGGGCAGGAACACGTATCTGCATGTTGCGTGCGGGTGAGCATGGTAGTGAGAAGAAAAAGGCTCCACTTGCCTGTGTGTGTGTGGGCCAGGATCTTCCGATCTTGGGTGCATGGGGGCCAGGATCTTCTGAACACGGTGCAGACACAGAGATGGGTCCCATGCGCAGGGAATGCAGGGAAACAGGACAGCAGGAGGGGTGCAATTAATCCTGCACCACCTGCCCAGTGTGACGGTACAAGAGGATCCTTCTGGAATGGATCCCCTTCTGAACAAAACATTGACGCTCCATATGCCAAGCAGCGTCAAAAAAATAGAACGAGATCTCATGAGTGATTGCTCTCTAGCCCTATTGGGAGAGGCCTATCATTTGTGTCATGTGTGTGGCTATTCTGGCTAATGTAACCCGAATGATCTTCCGGAAGTTGTGTGCCCTACCGATGCCTGAGGGGGGGCTGGGGTAAGTGATGGGCGGCAGCAGCACAACCCAACGGTGCTGTCGACGGTGGTGGCGCTCTCTCTAAGCTCTGATCCCCTCCTCCTTCCCTGGATGGAAGGGAGGGAGGGAAAGAGGGAGGCTGGTGAGCTGACCAGCCAGGTGAATAAAGAAGGTAGAAGGGGTGTAATTACGTCTTGCATGAATTTGCGGCACACGGGGCGGATTTCCTTGCTGAGAGTGGCACTGAACATCATGACCTGCTTTTCATGAGGGGTCATGCGGAAGATCTCCTGGACATCCCGGCGCATATCTACAAAGATGAAAGAACAGACAGGTTTGTATTTATTATTATTGTTGTTTATTTATTTCATTTATATACTGCTTTTCTCAACTCCTGGAGGGACTCAAAGCAGTTCACAACGAAGTAAATGGCAAAATGCAATGCCTCACAAAATATAAAATACAACACATAACTAAAATAGCATATAACAAGGGATTAAAACCAGTAAACTATAAAACATTGAACACTGACAACAAAGAACATTAGAAATTATTGTCTTGCTACTGTGAATACCCAGTAAATCTGATACTCCTCAAATAGGAAGAGCTGGAGGGGGAATGAATAGAGTATAGCTTGCAGAATTTCCCAAACATGACCAGTTTAGGAAAGGAGATAAAAGTTGTGGTAAAAAAGGGAACATCTTCAAGCTCCCCTACTAGGCCACATCTACATTCAGTAGTTCTTCCAGTCCCATAAATTCCAGGAGCTCCTGAATAAGGAAAGGAACAGATGCCTATGAATATTTTTACTCAATCTTTGAGTTTTACTCAACTTCCAGAAAACCCAGTCAGTTTATCAGCTATTAGGATTTCTGGGAGTTGAAGGCCAAAACACATGGGGACCCACAGGTTGAGAACCACTGCTCTAGTCTAAAGGACCTTCTAGGTTCTGAAAATCCCCAACTTTTCTCTGTCCTAAAGGGAGTCACGCCCTTCAAAAATAGTCCTGGTGGCCAGATGTTTTCTGCAAACCATTTCTAAAGTTAGTGGGGTATAATATAGTTTTGGGGAGGGAACTACCATAGCTGGTTCCCCACAGCAAACATTTCCATGCAATCCTAAGAGTACATCTATTGATTAGAGAGGAGAGGTTCTCATCCTCTCTAAAAAGCTACACAGATGGGAATTCTTTTCACACAACTTCATCCTAGCTGCAACCAATGCACCAGCTATTTGGTGAGAAAAATAAAAAGCAATATATGATGCAAACTAAATTGTGATGTTAGAAATGTTATTTCCAGACACAACCTCAATTTTTCCCTTTCTGGTTCATTTTAGAAAAATAGAGCATCTGTATTATTCTTGAGGCAGGAAGAAACTGAACTTAGGACAAGACAAAGTTACTTCCATGTCAGGCTCATGATCAAAACTTTCTTCAGTTTGCCTCATAGGAACCAGTTCAAAGAACAACTAGAGCAAAGGATCACTGTACTGCCTCAAAAGTAGAAAACATTGCTACTTCTGCTTATGGATGCCTAAGAAGTTCAGAACATCAGTTTCCCTAACCTGACCCACTCCTCATACTATTAGTTCTGCACCGCACTCACATCTTACCCCACCAGAGTAAGGACCCCTCTCTCACCAAGCTGCTCAAGCATCTTGTCGCATTCGTCCAGGATGAAATGCTTGATATGTTTCAGGTTGAGGCTCTTGTTGCGGGCCAAAGCGAGGATGCGGCCCGGGGTTCCCACCACGATATGCGGGCAGTTCTTCTTCAGCACCTCCTCATCCTTCTTGATGGACAGGCCCCCAAAGAACACCGCCACCTGGGTTACAGGAGGGAGGGAGAGAGTTAAGTTTCACACTTTCCTTCCCACAATACTCTTTACTTTTGAAACATTTTTCATTTGTCCTGGTAAAAAGTGGGCTTTGGTTTGAGAAAGAGATAGAAATAATTCATGAAGCTCACCTTGACACTGGGCATATACTTCGAAAAGCGTTCATACTCTTTACTGATCTGGAAGGCCAGCTCACGGGTGTGACACATCACGAGCACAGACACCTGCCAAAGAAGCAGAAATGCATTTGTTATTCCTCATGATATCACAGATTACATATTCCCTCAAGTCATTTTACTAGGAAGATTATCATGCCCCTGATGTGCCCACCCAACCCTTCCCTCTGCCCCCACAAAAAAACTGTTTTGCTTTTCCTAAACATACCTGTCCTGTGACTGGCTCCAACTGTTGAAGTGTGGCAAGAACAAAGACGGCAGTCTTGCCCATACCGGATTTGGCCTGGCATAGGACATCCATGCCCAAAATTGCCTGGGGGATGCATTCATGTTGCACTGTATTGGAAATGAGAATACAATCAATATCTCCTGGTTCTGCAGACCTCGAAAGCTCTTGCTTTTAACTGCCCTCTACCATATAAACTCCCGTCAGACTTTTCCCAAAATAAGGATTTGATTTGGGCTCACCTTCTGAGGGGTGCTCAAATCCACAGTCAACAATGGCACGGAGGAGTTCCGGTTTTAGCAAAAAATCACGAAAACCGGAACTGTGAATGGAGACATAGGACCCCTTGACGTCTTTCTTAGATGGGACATCTACTCCTTCTCCAGCTGCCTGGTTTTCCACCTCATCATCTTCATAATCCAACAGCTCATTGTCAACGTCGTTCTCAGTCATTATGATGGCTCTCTCTATTGCTCTAAAAACTGAGAGAAATATTCCAGTGAAACTAGAGCAACCGCCATCAAGAGCAAACATCAGATATAGCAACTCCACATAAACCAAATCAGTACTCATTTCAAACAGTGGCTTCTTTCTGCCATAGAGTTAGCTGTCCTTATCTGCTGCAGAGAGATTACTAGGTCCTTTAACCAGTAATTGATCTATTGCTTGTTTGCAACTTCTTTCAGCTCTAGAAAACATGGCCTATTGTGAGAAATGGTGGGGACAGCAGTTTTAACCATATATGGAGGGTCACATTCACCAAACCTCCTAATTCTATTATTATCATTATATTCATTTGTACCATGCCCTTTCAATAATGGAGCTCAAATTGGCTTGCAGCATTTTACACCAAGGTAATCCAATATTCTCTACCCAGTTAGAATAATGCAGGAAATATTTGGGAAACGGGTAGAAAAAAGGCTGATGTCAAAACATACAGATCCCCAAAGTGTCTAACAGCATACTTTCCCCAGTATACAACCTACCCAAACTCTAAATAAACACCTAAAGAAGGACGCATTGGGGAGGGGGCACACTTGTTTTCTGTTGTTCTGGAGACCAGGACACAGAGCAATGGATCCAAACTGCGAAAAAAGGAATTCCACTTAAACATTAGGACAGGGGTCGTCAAACTAAGGCCCAGGGGCTGGATACGGCCCTCCAAGGTCATTTACCCGGCCCTTGCTCAGGGTCAATCTAAGTCCGAAATGACTTGAAAGTACACAACAAGAACAGCAATCCTATCTCATCAGTCAAAAGCAGGCCCACTCTTCCCACTGAAATGCTAGTAAGTTTATATTTGTTAAAATTGTTCTTCATTTTAATTATTATATTGTTTTTTAGTGTTTTTTGTACTACAAATAAGATATGTGCAGTGTGCATAGGCATTCATGGTTTTTTTTTCCAAATTATAGTCTGGCCCTCCAACAATTTGAGGGACTGTGACCTGGCCCTCTGTTTAAAAAGTTTGGGGACCCCTGCATTAGGAAGTACTTCCTGATTGTAAAAGCTGTTTGGCAGTGAAATATGCTACCTCAAAGTATAATGGGTTTCCCTTTTCTGGAGGTTTTTAAAGAAGAAGCTGGATGGCCATCTGTCAAGGGTTATTTTGATTACGGTATGTGTATTTCTGCCTTGGCAGAATGGGATATGCTTGGAATGCTTTTTGGTCTCTTCCAACTCTTATGATTCTAAGTACCAAAGAAACATAGTTTCAGAAATGTGATGAAACATACTGTGTCGTATGGGTGTTTGTGTTATGATTCCCGAATACCACAATGGGTTTGGACTAGAGAGCCCTTGGAAGTCTGTCTCTCCCAACTTTCTGAGTGTATGGAATGCGACTAGATAGCCAGATTTTCCCCTACTTCATTCAGGAGCATGACTTGTTGTTGTTTTTTGTAAACTGAGGGGATTCTAACATAACAGCAGCAGAAAGGATGAATAAATACTATCATGAAATTATATTTTTCCTGGACTATCAGCAGCTCCACACAAGGTGCCCTGCAGTATCTGCTTGGAATACTTTTGATGGTGGGAAAAGAAGGCTAAAGAAGCAGCTCTAATATTAGAGCAAATACAGTAAGAATTTCCCTACATTTCCCCTGTACAAATATTTGTAGGCTTCCTACATAGAAGGAAAGACTTTAGGAAAAACCGGTGATATGAGGTTTCTGGCAGTAAATATGCTACCTTGGAGTGTGATGGAATCATCCCCTCATCTGGAGATTTTTTTAGCACAAGGTGGATTGCCACATGTCTGGGAGTTTTTTAAAAATTATTTTTATTTAGATAGATTAAAACAAAACCTACATACAGGTATACATACAAAATAATGATATCAAAAACAAAAGATTTGAAATACTTTTTCTAGGACACTACTACTACTACATCCTAAAACTCCAAAAACATTAAGGGCATTAATATCTTCCTTTTTATGTTTAATTAAACCAAACAAGTGGTGGTGGTGGTGATCTTGGTTTTAATGTTCACAAGGTTTTAATTGTGTTTAGTGTTTATAATATTTATGTTTAACTAGCCATCCCCTGCCACACGTTGCTGTGGACCACATGGGGGTTCTGTGTGTGGGAAGTTTGGCACAATTCTATCGTTGGTGGGGTTCAGAATGCTCTGTGAATGTAGGTGAACTATAAATACCAGCAACTACAACTCCCAAATGTCAAGATTCTATTTTCCCCAAACTCCACCAGTATTCACATTTGGGCATATTGAGTATTCTTGTAGAGTTTGGTCCAGATCCATCATTGTTTGAGTCCACAGTGTTCTCTGGATGTAGGTGAACTACAACTCCAAAACTCAAGGTGAATGTCCACAAACCTTTCCAGTATTTTCTGTTGGTCATGGGAGAACTGTGTGCCAAGTTTGGTTCAATTCCATCGTTGGTGGGGTTCAGAATGTTCTTTGATTTTAGGTGAACTATAAATCCCAGCAACTACAACTCCCAAATGACAAAATCATTTTTTTTTTTGAGTGAAGGACATACATTGAGTTGTTAGGTGTCTTGTGTCCAAATTTGGTGCCAATTTGTCCAATGGTTTTTGAGTTCTGTTAATCCCACAAACGAACATTACATTTTTATTTATATAGATGGGTTGTTTTAACTTTTGTATTTTATGTTTTTATTCTATTGTAACTGGCTTGGGTCTGGGTTAGAGAAAGACGGAATATACATTTCTCAAATAAATAAAAATAATCTGTTATCTATTCTAAGGGCTTGACATTCTCTGCTTTGGAACATTTAGAGGTTTTTAAGCAGAGGGTAGATGACCATCAGCCGGGGTGCTTTGATTGTGTCTCCCTGCATGGCAGAATGGGGTTGGACTAGATGGGCAATTCTATGAGGAACTTATCTACATATTTCTTGAGGATTCTTCTCATACTCTGACAATTTGACCTTCTAGTCTTAGGAACATAGGCCTCATCTGCACAGCCATATAACCCAGTTTCTGTATTCAGGTTATTTGCTTTGAACTGGATTATATGGCAGTGTAGATGCAGATAATCCAGTTCACAACAGATAATCTGGGTCCAGAAACTGGGTCATACGGCAGCATAGACCCAGCCATCCTCCATATGGGTATCTCTGATGGGAGAGGTTACGCCCATACAAAGGACAAAAGAACACATAACAAGAGGGAGCTCTCTCTCTCTTCCTATTAAAATGGTTGCAGCACATTAGTCCTAAATATAAACCCAAGCAAAGCCACATGTGTGTGTGTATGTATGTGTATATATGTGTGTGTGTGTATGTGTGTATATATATATTCCTTTTTAAAACTGTTTGCTATCCTATTTGAGTCCACCATTCATTGCTTTGAGCTTTCCTCGGTTCTTTTTATCACCCAGAAATACCAAAATGCACCAAAAAGTATCTGCATTATAGCTGCATTTTCAATTAATAGTAAGCAATACTATATATCTTTTTAAAAACCTCAATTTCAAAATGGAATAAAAGGCGGTGCCAAACTGTTTGGAATAACTTCCTTCAAATTGACTCAAAGAAGCAAAATATGAAGCTGCATTAAGATATCATCCAGCAAAAAACCTTTCGGTTGAAACTATATCAAAATCCTATTAAGAGCACAGAATGGATGGGGGGGGGGGCCGATGGAAAGGCCAGACTTAAATCCTTTTATATTTCAAATTTCTCCACCAATTTCCGCTTAAAAGGGTGCAGAAGAGTTCCCTCTCGCCACCCAACCAGGCGCTGAAGAGCTGCCTAACAGCATCCAGCCGATGTTTCAAGATTACAAACAGCGCGGTGAAAACAACGCCAAAGCGCCAAGACGCCCGCCATCTTGGATTCACTCAATAACAATGAATGCGCTACTACCCCCCTCCATCTTTTAACCTGGCTTTAAGGCACTTGGGTCGGGGAAAGGCCCTCAAAAAGCCAACCATCGGACGCGCAATCGCTTATAGAATCGATATCGACCCCGTGATGGAGCGGATGGCACAACGGTGCGCCGATGAAGAGGAGATAACGGAGGAGCATCTTACCTCTGGCAAAGGGGAGGAGCTCGTCGAGTGCGCGAAGAGGCGGCCACAGTCGAGTGAGAGCGACTTCCGGCCAGCGCACAGCACGGCGGAAGCTCCAAAAGGGACCTGATGTGAGGACCCCGCGGCATTCTCGCGGGCTTTTTGTCTAAACCACTGCCTAATTAGAACAATGGCAATAATTGTGGTTATTCATGTTCTGGTTCGAAAAAGCAATTTTTAAGAAAAAATCACGTGCACGTAATTTCAATATTTATGGCATTTATTCAAACATATTCAATATTATAGTAAGATTTTTGGGGAGGCGTCTGCAAAGGACACCAAATAGGAGAAATGTAATGCAGTACAAGATCAAGACTTATTTCTGTTGAGATTAACTTCACAATTCAGCAGCAGATCAGTTGCACTGGAGGAGACGTGGTTTTAAAAGGGGAATTTTCAGATATTTCCCCAATGCCCATATGTCATGATTTACTGCCATATTGGCCTATTTCTGCAGTAGGCCTTTGTTCACAGAAAATGCTGATTGTTTGAGAAATCAGTGCTCCAAAGAAGAAGTTACTATTCAAGGATAACAGTATATCCGGACAAAACCAGCTAGCTGTTGGCTAGTTAGAACCCCCAAGTTTCCCAGTCGCTCTGAAGCCATGTTTGCAACAGACTAACAGATAAGATACAGTCATGGTCAGAGAACAATGGACCATAGTTATGTTATAGTTCTGCCATTGTTAGGATCCCACGTGTGCTATAATGTCAATCAAAATCATAAACAACTAATGAACAACTGCATAGCTAGCTTAGACCAATGAAATGATTTGTCTTTGGGAACCAATGAAAATGTATATTCCATTTACTATAAATGCTCTGCAGCCCCATTGGGGGTTGCGACAAACCCTTTGACTGCATCCCTGTATGCTTGTTTGTCATTATTGCTATGGCCATGGTGCGGTCCAGGGGTACCCTCCTTCCGAGGAGACCCATTTAAAGTTACAGACTTCATTTGGCGACCACGAAGGGACCCTGCTTGGAGGTCCTGATAAATTATAGTGTAAATTTCCAAGCAGGCTACGCTTGGTCCAGAATCTCTGGGACAACTCGCGAGGAGGAACGTCTGAGGAAACGAGGCACCTCAAACCAATCAGGATCTTTGGAAAACCAAAATAAAATACAAATTCTCCTACAGCACCTTCCTCTTGATGAATTGTCTTGGACTTTCGGTCAACGGAGCATAGGGAAGCTTCTCAAGGACTTCCTGGAAGAAGGGCCACCGACGCCGGGGGAAACGTCTGAGGGTAAGCAGCCGTGGGTCACACCAAGACTCCCAGGTGATAGGAATCGCCTTTGAAGTTGGGAACTTCTGGTAAACGGGGATTCGGGAACAAATTCCTGGGCTGAGGTGTGGGTAAGACCTGGCGATTTGGGGAGGGTATCTGCAGTCCAACTTGACTTGGGACGGTCTGGGGAGGGAAGGAAGTTCCCTTGCCTATAGGTCACCAGGTGTTGGCCGCTCAGGTTCTAGTGGAGGGGACTTTTGGGTGGAGGCTCGTGTTTTCGGTTGGCAGAGCTGATCCCCCATTAACTACCRGGAGGGTAGAGGCTGAGCTAGAATSGGCGCATGYGGATCYCAACTCAAACRTCCTGTCCCAGGGGAAACACCTTTAGGAAAGCTCTTGGCCAGTTGGGACAGGCTAGCATCACGTTCGATGGATCAGGCCARGATGGTCAAATATAGCACTCGTGAGTGGCCCCTAAGGCCCTTGGAGGGAGGGGCCTCTTTGGTGCGGTCCGGGGGTACCCTCCTTCCGAGGAGACCCATTTAAAGTTACAGACTTCAGCCACGCAATAATAAATAGTTTTTTKCAGTTTAAAAGGATTCAACTTCCATGGTGTCCATCCTTGCCCTCCCTATTGGAAAGGGGGCTTCTGCCTTTTGGGAAATATTTTGGTTTCGTTGCCCCTACATTACATTACAATGCATTGTAAAACCTGACACTTTATTTATTTTCTACATTTATATGCCACCCTTTTCACCCCAAAAGGCACTCAGAGTGGCTTACAAGATATAATTGTTTCGGATTTGTGTGATATTTTCTTTTAACTTTTTCTGGAGTTGAAAGGCATCAGGGCCAAAGAGGTGTTGCTATGGCCACGCGCAGGTGTTGCTATGGCCGGCAGTGGGCAGTTAGGCCGTAGAAGTACTCTCACTGCGAGGCTGTGTGGCCATGGAGGCGCCCTGCCCAGGAGTTGTAAGGCATCAGGGCCAAAGAGGTGTTGCTATGGCCACCCGCAGGTGTTGCTATGGCCGGCAGTGGGCAGTTAGGCCGTAGAAGTACTCTCACTGCGAGGCTGTGTGGCCATGGAGGCGCCCTGCCCAGGAGTTGTAAGGCAGCAGGGCTAAAGAGGTGTTGTTATGGCCCCGCGCAGGTGTTGCTATGGCCAGCAGTGGGACCCGTCTGGAAACGGATGTCCTCACTGCGGGAGAACATACGGATCAAGAACAGAGCTCCGGAGCCACCTACAGACCCTCCGCCAAGACACCACATCTGGAAGACAACCATCCTCGAGGGATTGCCTAAGTAAGCCAGCTTAGACCAATAAAATGATGGATTACTGTACAACAATGAGAATGTGTCTTTAATTTTCCATCAAAGTGATAAAAGCCTTACAGCCTCATTTGGGAGTGAAAGACCTTTTTATGCTCCATGCATTCTGACCCTATTTCTGGGCCCACAATAAAAGCCTTTGTAGTAGGAATCCAATTAGTGCCTTCCTCCTTGCATGCTGCCTGGGCCTTTGAGGGGACTCCTAAGTCTAGGTTCTTGTGGGTTTTTTCAGGCTATAGAGCCATGTTCTAGAGGCATTTCTCCTGACGTTTCGCCTGCATCTATGGCAAGCATCCTCAGAGGTAGTGAGGTCACTACCTCTGAGGATGCTTACCATAGATGCAGGCGAAACGTCAGGAGAAATGCCTCTAGAACATGGCTCTATAGCCCGAAAAAACCCACAAGAACCTAGTGATTCCAGCCATGAAAGCCTTCGACAATACATTGACTCCTAAGTCGTTTGGCGTGCTAGTTGAGGCCATGCCCTGTCACTGATATCACCATATCCTAGAGTTGGAAGATTCTCCAAAGGTCATCTAGTCCAACCCCATTCTTCCATGTAGGAACACACAATCAAAGCACTGGATTGCTTTGAGTTTTTTTCTGGCTGTATGGTCATTGTTCCTGTAGCATTTTCTCCTGATGTTTCACCTGCATCTGTGGCTGATTTGTTCAGAGGTTTGCTGGAAATTACTCAAGTGAGGTGTTTGTGTGTGTGTGTGTGTGTGTGTGTGTGTGTGTGTGTGTAATGTCCAGGGTGAGAGAAAGAACTCTTGTCTATTTGAAGTATGAATGTTGCAATTAGCCAGCTTCATTAGCATTTAGTAGCCTTGCAGTTTCAAAGCCTGGCTGTTGCTGTCTGGGGGCATTCTTTCTTTGGGAGGTGTTAACTGGTACTTGCCTATATAGACTAGGGACCACCAAATGCAGCAATGCCCAAACACAAATCAACGAACATGAAAGGCACTACACTACAGACTAATCCAACCGGAGAAGTCATCTATAGTAGAGCACTTGATGAACCAATCTGAACACAATATTGCTTGAGAACACAGAAATGCTGGGCCACTCTGGCAACCACCATGTCAGACTACACAGAGAAGCCACTGAAATCCACAAACATGTGGATAATTTCAACAGAAAGGAAGAGGCCATGAAAACGAACCAAATCTGGTTACCAATATTAAAAAACAAAACAAAATAAACACCAAAATCAGGACTGTAGATAAAGAACACCACTCAGAAAAAGAGAAATTCCAGACAGGCAACAATCAGGTGCCAGTTAACACTTCCCAAAGGATGACCCTAGGTATCAACAGCCAGGCTTTGCAACTGCACGGCTACTCAATGCGAGAGAGAGAATTGGCCGTCTGCAATTCTCTCAATGTGAGAGAATTGGCCGTCTGCAAGGACGTTGCCCAGGGGACACCTGGATGATTTGATGTTTTTATCGTCCTTGTGGGAGGCTTCTCTCATGTCCCCGCATGAGGAGCTGGAGCTGATAGAGGGAGCTCATCCGCCTCTCCCTGGATTCAAACCTGCGACCTGTCGGTCTTCAGTCCTGCTGGCACAGGGCTTTAACCCACTGTGCCACTGGGGGCTCCTTTTGTAAAGGTGGCTGTAATTATATTATAATTTACTTATATAACCAAACAAAAATACAAAAATTAAAAAAAAGATCTCAAGTTCTCAATTTTAATCATGTCACTTTTTATTCATCATGACCAAAACTGACAATGTGCCCAGTTGTAAACAGATACCCTTTGTGGGATGGATGATTAGAAAGAATTAAGCAGCATGTACCGGAGAACAAAGACAAGGAACCACATTTTCAGCGCACATATATACCAGCAAAACAGAAGGGGTGTTTGTAAAGGCTCAGATTCACGAGAAATACCCCTTTATGCCATAGTAAGGGAGAGTATTATGGAGAAAGGCATCCAGAATTGTTATGTGGACCAGGACAGATCCATATCATATGGTTATGGGCCTTTTCAAAATATTCAGCTAGAGCACTATGATCCGATCTCAACTGCATCCCATGGAATCCTGTGATTTGTTCTTTAGTGAGGTTCTGCAGCCCTTTGGATAAGAGTTCTAAAGACATACCTACCAACGGTCCTAAATTGGCCAGTAAGGTCCCAATTAATCCTCTGTCCACTTCTAAAATGTCCCAGTTTCTCTCCTTTCCTTCCATTTCCCCCCTTTGCCCTCCACTTACTTCAACGTCTTCAGATTAAGTTCAAAGTGCAAAAGTAGTGTGTTCAGTAGCAGAATGAGAAGTGGCAGAATATTGCCCTTCCCAGTAGGCTCAGGCCCCTTCTACACTGCCATATAATCCAGATTATCAAGCAGATAATCCACATTACCTGCTTCGAACTGGATTATATGAGTCTATGCTGCCATATAATCCAGTTCAAAGCAGATAATTTGGATGTTATATGGCAGTGTAGAAGGGGGCTCAGGCAAATACAAACTGCTGCAGCTCTCCTATTCTGTCTCACTAGTATCATTTTCCCACTATGATGTTGTCTGGCCACATGTTTCCTTGTTTTCATTTGTAAAATACTGAGGAGGATATAAAATACCTCTTTTAAACTGCAAATCAGGAGATTCCATAAGGTGCAGACAGGAAAGATAAGGTGGAATCATACCACCACTACAATGGAGCGTGAAAAGGCATTGAACCATTCCATAGAGTAGTAGCTAATAATGAGGGAGCAAAATTACAAAGTTCTAGATAATGACTGTGGATAAGACTGAATGCCATTAAATTCCAGTCCCAGCATACCATAGATGTCAATTGGAAAACCTATACATTTCTAGAGAGGAATCTTCTCTAGCATTTTGTTAGGTCCCTCCAATGCAGCTATATAATAACTTTGGGGAACCATACTTCAGAATCACCTGAAGGACCTATCAAATTACTTTTTTTTTTCATGTCAGGAGCAAGTTGAGAAACTGCAAGTCACTTCTGGTGTGAGAGAATTGGCCATCTGCAAGGACGTTGCTCAGGGATGTCTGGATGTTTTTACCATCCTGTAGAAGTCTTCTCTCATGTCCCCACATGGGAAACTGGAGCTGACAGATGGGAGCTCACCCCATCTTGTGAATTTGAGGTCAGCACTTCAATTGGCACATGGGTTTAACCCACTGAGCCACTGTGGCTCATCAGACGATTTTCTCCTGGATGCAATTAAGCATCCAGGAGATGCTTAACATGGATTCCACAATTTCAGGGGTCTTATGTATACATACATTAGTATATGCAAACAATCCTTCAGAATGGATTTAAGCCTACAGGGTATCTTTCTCATGAGAGGCCTGAAGGCAACCCTGACATTTCCGGAGACAATCCCTCCCAGTATTTAGGATTATGAAGACAACCCCATCAAGCAAGATTCACAACTTTGCTATGAATTCTGATAAATTATTAAAAACAATAGATGGAAAGATTATTGGGGCAGAGATCATTCAATCAGGTGGGATTCAATTTTAGACATAGGTGAAGGTTTTATATTGTCGGAGGGACATCAAGACAGACCCACAGCGGTCAGGAGACTAATACTAGGCAGGGCTTTACGCAGGATATGAGCCAGGAAGGTTTGCTTGACAACCAAGTGGAGATGACGGCCTGGGTCAGTGGGTCCCCCTAAATAGCTGCCCGGTAATTGGGGTGTATTTGGGGCCGCACATCCCAAACAATGGTGAGAAGTTGACGCAGGACCCGATCCTTGCCCCGGGCCTGTCCTCCTTGCATCGCCTGCAGTTTCTTCCGGGTCTGTGCCTCCACCTCTGCAGACAGGTTCCCCTGAGATCCCAGAGCCTGGAGGGAGAAGGAAGGAAGGAGAAGTGTCAGGTTAGTCCCAAATTATGATAGACATGTGTCTCCCAACTCTGTTCATTCGGTTTTAGTATTTGGTTAGAAGCTTTTAAAATGTTCTAGTTTCAGTCTCCTTCTCCCATGTTCCTCCTTTGCATCCATCTCGCTTCAGTGGCTGCAGATTGAGTAAAAAATAGAAAAATACTTTGCATTTAATTAATGAGAAGGGAGAGGAAGTAGCAGAAATGAACCTTTCCCAGGAGGCTGAGGCAAAAGCAATCAGCTGCAACATTTCTTAGCCTGTCTATTCTTTCTTATTAAAGATTGTTTATTCTTAAAAATTGATTGTTTTAATTGTTTATAATTGCTGTTTATATATGTTTTATTTTATTGTTTGTGTAGGCATCGAATTGTCCCTTTTGTAAGCCGCCCTGAGTCCCCCCTCGGGGGTTGAGAAGGGCGGGGTAGAAATGTACGAAATAAATAAATTAATTAATAAGAAACTTTGCTATCTTTACCACAATGTTGTGCTTAGTATCACACGATTTTCCTCTAGAATGCTAGAAGGTATGGAGTTATCATCATAATTCCTTAACTATATTACAATAAATCCTGTCCCTGTTGCTGTTGCCCTTGATTACAGTCGGCCATCTTCATTTGCAGGTTTAGCTTTTGCAGGAAGTTAACCATAGTGTGAGAGAGTCCTTGCATCATTATGATCAATTTATTTGTTACCTGCCTCTCCTTGCAGCTCAAGGCAGGGTACAATGCAGCCAAAACAGAGACAAAACACAATACCACTGAAATACATACAACAAAATACACACAAGACCCAACACCAATAACATGCAGGTTAAAATTCACAGTTAAAAATTCACACCTCTCTAGCAAATTCTACAATCTCCAGCAGAATGGTCAATGTATGGTAGCAATTGAGCATAGAAACTTACTGGCACAACCTGGGGATCACAACCAGACACAGTGAAGACATCTGCCCTTGCGTTATGCTACTCTGCTGCTGAATATGCATGCCCAGTGTGGAACACATCTCACCACACTAAAACAGTGGACGTGGCTCTTAATGAGGCATTATCACGGGGTGTCTGTGCCATACACCACTGGAGAAATTACACTGCTTAGCTGGTATTGCACCACCTGACATCCACCGGGAAGTAGCAGCCAATAGTGAAAGGACCAAGGCAGAGACATCTCCAGCTCATCCCTTGTTTGCAACCTGAGCCCTGCTACATGCACAAGGGAGGACCTTCTTGCGGCAACACCAGAAGCACTCCAAGTGGCCAGATACTGGTCAAAGGACATTTAATCAACTACCAAGCTTGCAAACTCTGTGTCTTTTGTATGTTTGTTTGTTTGTTCTGTCAAAAATGTAATACAACTGTTCGGTTGCCTGACACGATAAATAAATAGCATAGAAACACACTGGAAGACCTAGAAATTATCTCAGGTTTTTAAAAATAGATTTCCCCCCCAATTTTCCACACTCCTAAACCTAGTAAATGCAGAAAGTTGACTGTATTACTTCTGAGACCCATCCTCCAAGCTTTCCAACAACCCAATGAAACCCCAAATAACACCCCTCAAAAAGCCTATGTCTTCCCCACATCTCACCGCCTGCTGCTTCTGCTGGAACTCCCTCTCGCGCTCCATGCGGTATTGCTCAATCTCAGCCTGGGCTTCTTCCTTGGCCTGCTTCAGCCGCCGAGCCTTCCCTAGGATGGAGGTCAAGGTGAGAAAGGAAGAGAGGGATATACAGGACAAGCTGGACCGGGTTTCTAGATCCCTTTGAAGCACATATGCCAAATCACATCAGTCTTGATATCTGAATCTCAAGAGGTATTGATCTTAGTGGTAATCATTGTTTGTATTATAAATATTTAATACTGTTTTAACTTTTATATGTCGCACTAGAGTTGCCCTGGTGTGGGAGGGACCACTACTCCCCTGCTTTCATACCTTTTTCCTATTTCCCTTCTCTTATATCTTTTCCCCTTTCTTTTCCCTTCCTTCCTTCCTTCCTTCTTTCTTACCCCTCCTTCCCTCCCTTCTCCCTTCCTTCCTTTCCTTCTTCCTTCCTTTATTTCTTTCTCCTCTCTCCCTCCCTCCTTATTTACTTATTTATTTACTTCATTTATATACCGTTTTTCTCAGCCCTTAGGCGACTCAAAGCGGTTAACAACAGCAAAAATTCAATGCTAAACATCATAAAAACAGTTAAGGGACAGTTAAAACAGTAGCATAATAAACAATTAAGCAATYAATATAACAAATCATTAGCGTCTCATTAGTAGAATCAAGATCCAATCTCATCATCTGTTATTCCGTGTTCCTATATTCATTACACTGCCTAATCAAATGCCTGCTCRAACAACCAGGTCTTCACTTTCCTCCGAAATGTAATATCTGTAGGAAGGGCGTTCCACAGCCGAGGGGCCACCACTGAGAAGGCCCTGTCTCTTGTCACCACCAGGTGTGCCTGTGTGGCAGGCGGGACTGAGAGCAGGGCCTCCCCAGATGATCTTAATGTCCTAGCTGGTTCATAGGAGGAGATGCGTTCCTTCCCTCCATCCTTCTCTCCCTTCCTTCCTTCCTTCTTTCCTTTCTTACTCCATTCTCCAGCTCTGAGAGGGTCTATCTCTCTTCTTCTGTTTCCCTCCCTTTATATCTTTCCCCCTTACTTTTCTCTTCCTTCCTTCCGTATGATATAATAATAATTATAATAATTATAATAATAATTATAATAATTATAATAATAAAGATCTTTATTTATACCCCACCACCATCTCCCCGAAGGGGACTCAGGGCGGCTAACATGAGGCCAAGCCCAGAATTACAGTACAACAAAACAGAATAAAATACAAAAAGCAACTAATAACATCAAAATAAAATACACAAAATAACAGAAAATGAAATAAACAGCACACTATGCAAAATAGTGTGAATAAAATAAAAGCATGGTAGGTGAGCCAAATGCACAGAATAAGATTTATAAAACCCTGGGTGAGATAAGTAAATTGAGAAGTATGTGTCTGTTGGGGAGCTCCCTCCCTTCTTCTTTCCTTCCTTTCCTTTCCATTCCTTTCCTCCTTTATTTCTTTCCCCTTCCTTCCTTCCTTCCTTCCATTCTCCAGCTCTGAGTCTACCTCACAGTGTCTCCATGGCAAAATGGCTCTATGGCTCTTCCCTCCCTCCGTCTTATACACATGTCATCCAGTGAAATCAGAAAGGGCCACTTCACCTGGCAACAGCCTTTGTGGCACAAATGTACCCTGACTCTCTCTCTCTCTCTCTCTATATATATATATATATATATACACACACACACACTCGCCTTATGCTTTATTTATCATATATTGTTTGTTTTAGTGCTGGTTACTGACTGAAATAAATATATATGCTACATTAATTTTGACAATCTTAATACACTACAGGACACAGACGCGAGACTATTTTCTCTTTCCAGATATTTATTTATTTTATTTACTGCATTTGTTGACCGCCGTTCTCAGCCCTAGATATTGTGAACTTCACCTCCCAGAGACCCCATTCAACACAGCCTATGGCAAGGGAGTATGGGAACTGTAGTTCAAAACATCAGAGGGGGCGATATTCCCTGCCCTTGCTCTGAAGGTGGGGAGAAAAGCTGTGTTTACATTAGCAGCCATCCTCTGGGCATTTAAGTGTCTTGAAAAACCTATGGATCATCTCTCCTTTTCTAAAAAGGAAAGGCATTGAGTGATTTTCAAAGTCGCTTCTTCCCAATCCCACTCTGTATAATAATATACCCCCATGCCCATAAGATGATGATGAGGATGAGGATGATGATGATGATGATAGTGATTATCAGCCAAATCTATAATCACAACAAAGGACCCTGGCTTACGTTTCCGAGCCTCTGCCACCTTCTCGGCGGCTCTCTTTTCGGCCTGCAGCAGCTGCTGGATTCCCTGGGTCTGGCTGGCCATGACTCCTTAGCAAGGATGCTCAGATCAGCTAATACTCCTCCTCCTCCTCCTCTTGCATCTGATGAGTTGGGTACCACTTCCTGCCAAAGCTCCTCCCAGGTCCTAGTGCCTCCTATTTTCTGCCTGTTCTGCAGCAAGTCTAAAACAGCTCTGCTATCTCTTGCATTTTGCCATGTCCACTTTACTGATGTCAGATCCCGAATCTCCAGTTTTTGTGAATAATCTCCAACTGGGCACCATAATTCAAGAAAGATATTGACAAGCTGGAATGTGTCCAGAGGAGGGCGACTAAAATGATCAAAGGTCTGGAGAACAAGCCCTATGAGGAGCGGCTTAAGGAGCTGGGCATGTTTAGCCTGAAGAAGAGAAGGATGAGAGGAGATATGATAGCCATGTATAAATACGTGAGAGGAAGCCACAGGGAGGAGGGAGCAAGCTTGTTTTCTGCTTCCTTGGAGACTAGGACACAGAACAATGGCTTAAAACTACAAGAAAGGAGATTCCATCTGAACATGAGGAAGAACTTCCTGACTGTGAGAGCCGTTCAGCAGTGGAACTCTCTGCCCAGGAGTGTGGTGAAGGCTCCTTCTTTGGAAGCTTTCAAACAGATGCTGGATGGCCATTTGTCAGGGGTGATTTGAATGCAACATTCCTGCTTCTTGGCAGGGGGATGGACTGGATGACCCATGAGGTCTCTTCCAACTCTTTGATTCTATGATTCTATGATACGATGCTGGCATCAATCAACAGTACAATCAAAATATTAAAAATATTAAAACAGCAATCAAAACAATTAAGACACATCCATTAAAATCGAAATCCAAAACCAGACTGCATCAGTTCATTGCCATAAGTTGTGTGATCTTCTTCCACTTGCTGCTCACTGATCAAATGCTTGGCCCCACAACCGGGTCGTGATTTTCCTTCTAAAAGACAGGAGGGAGGTGGCCAATCTGATATCTCTAGGGAGGGCATTCCACAGATGGGGGCCACTGCTGAGAAGGCCCTGTCCCTCGTCCCCACCAGTCGTGTTTACGATGGCGGTGGGATCAAGAGCAGGGCCTCCCTAGATGATCTTAAGTTCAAAGTTCAAGATAATCCAGTTCAAAGCCAATAATGTGGATTATCTGCCTTGGTATTCTGGATTATATGGCAGTATAGAAGGGCCCAATGCTCCTATTTTAAAATAATAAAAACTGTCCTGTTAGTTATTATTAGTACTTTACTTTTCAAAGAAGAAAGTGTATTATCTCTCTGAATGACCTGCTGTGAGTAATTGTGATTGGTAGTTAGATCATTAGCCTCAAGCCTTGGAGAAAGGCAGATAAGAAATAGAACATGTTGTTGTTGTTGTTGTTGTTGTCATTTTTGTATATAGTAATGCCTCAATTGATCGCATGTATAAGTCTGGGGCAGGTTTTACAGCGGGTCTATTTGACCCATGGGTAAAGGGGATCATTTCTAAGAGGTAAGGTACAGTACTTAACAGATCTGATGAGCTTTTTTCAAATCGTACTTGTATATCTACAGTATTACACTATTTATTTATTTATTTATTTAAAAAGCCATCTCTCGTCCCTGCCAGTCACACCTGCGAAGAAATACATAATACCCTTTCAATAGTAAAAAAAAAAAAAAAAAAGGAAAATATTAATTAGGAAAGAAACAATTGGGGACAGCTAATCACCTCTCAACAAAGAATTCCCCCAGGCAGCAAGAAGGCACACATTGAAAACTGCTAGACCTTGAAATGCTAATCAAGGTGGCCAGTTGAAACATTCACACCTAGCTCGAACAGACAAGAGTCCTTTCTCCCACACTGGACTTTCCACAGATATATAAAACCCATTTTCCTAGTTTCCAACAGACCACACAACCTCTGAGGATGTTTGCCATATATACTGGCAAAACGTCAGGAGATAATGCTTCTGGAACATGACCATACAATTATTATTATTATTATTATTATTATTATTATTATTATTATTACTATTATTATATGAAGAAGTGGCTTTGAGTCTCCTTTGGTAGAGATAAAGCAGGATATTATTATTATTATTATTATTATTATTATTATTATTATTATTATTTAGATCCTGTTTTATCTCTCCCAAAGGAGACTCAAAGAGGAGTCTTCACTTGAATTAAGAAGACAATGACATCTTCACTTTCTGATGGTTCAATGTACACAAAGTTTGTTTTCAAAAGTATTCCAAATATTGTGTATAAAATAATCCTCAGGTTATGTTTATATGAAACATAAATGAATTTGATCTTTAGGCTTTGGTCCCTTTGCCACCTCCTGGAGGAAAGAAAGGTGACCAGAAGTTAAACAACTTTTAAAGAAATTATTTTATTTTCTGAATAGACTAAATATAGCACTATGTAACACAATTTTTGTTCCTGGGTTATAAATGTTATTTCCTAATTTGTTCTATCATAAAAACATGGAAAAGTTTATTAAACTGCAAAAAATAGTTTTTGTGGCACATCCTGCAGCACATGTTGCTATAGTTTTTCAATTAATATCTCATTGAGTCTCAACTAATTCAACACAGTTTGTGGCGACCACAAAAATGAAGTTTCTGAAATATGACAACTACTTTCAAACTAAATACAACACAATTAAACAAGAAATAACACTTTAAATCCAGGAGCAGATTTTTTTTAAAAAATGTTACATAGTGTAATAAACAAAGAGAAAGAAGACAAAGAAACATTAGAAAAGAAAAAAGGATGTAATATACATATTTAAAGAAATAAAGAGCATAAAGATATACATGGCTTTCAACTTTCAATTCAACAACTGCAAACATAAAGTAAACAGCCCTGCCCCTCTCCCAATAAACTACATTGCACACATCTTCTCACAGCTACTTCATAATTTTCAAAACCATGAGTTACGAAATCATTTTCCCTTTTCTTCAAAAACTCCATTAAGGATTTCAATCTTTTTACATATATATTTTTATTTATGTTTTTAACCATATTATTTATAGTTGATTTCATTTGATGGATACACACATAAAAAGGCATCCCATAGTCATCCTGTTGAATATTGATGTTAGCAATGAGATAAACATATATACAGCATGCATTTACAATTCTGTTGTTGTTGTTGTTCATTCGTTCAGTTGTCTCTGACTCTTCGTGACCTCATGGACCAGCCTACGCCAGAGCTCCCTGTCGGCCGTTACCACCCCCAGCTCCCTCAAGGAGCTGTAGCCGCACCTTATCCTTTGATATATTCTATTTAATTGACACTCCGGGATAATTAAATATAGACTACAAAATCGTCCGTAACTATTTGCTTTGGTCTATATGACATTTCCTATTTATATTGTTAGCTTTCCAAAATCAAGCAGAAATATTAAAAGAGGGGTTTTTTTATACTTATCAAATTCTCTTAAGACTCAATCCTTTTTTTTATTTTTTTCAAATTCAGTAAAAATTCTGTCCAGTTGTTCTGGAAGTCTGGTATAGATTTGCCTTTCAATAAACAAAGGAGTGTATCCATCTCTGTCTGTTGAATCAGTTTTAGTAACCAATTATCTCTTTCTTTTTGAAACAATGGCTCAAAACCAGTCTTTTTAATTACAATGTTAAGAGTTGGTCAGCAGGCTCAAGCCTTCCCCACCTCTTCCTTTCCTTTGTATTTCCTCTTGCCATGCCCGAAGGGTATATATTGGTATTTTATCTTATGCTTGATTTGCCTCTTTGTGGTGATGCAGAAAAGCATAATGAAATACATCACAAGAATTGGCCAAAATACTGGAACGTTGAAAGCCTCAAAGAATGTACACATCATTGCAACAAGGATACTTTCCATAGCCAAGTGCCAGAACTTGAACTCTGGCAGCCTTCGAATGAAGAGCCAGAATTCCTCATTTTGTTTTGTGGGTAATGAAGAACCCTCATCTGAATCTTCCATTAAAGAGGAACCTACCTTTAGCGACAAGAAAGCTGTGAAAATGCTTAGGTGGTAGATGCCCAAAGCATATGTCACAATGTACCAACCCTGTAGCAAATAAACTATCATGTAAATAAAACTTAGGCCCAATGTCACATCCCATCGTACCCGAGTATAAAGGGTAGACTTGTCTAACCTGGAATGGTAAATCTGTCTGAGTTTTGTGACAAACCTATTGTGACAAACCCTGAAGGTTTGCCATGGATGGAATCTCCAGTACTGTCTCCTTTGGATGGATGGATGGATGGATGGATGGATGGATGGATGGATGGATGGATGGATAGATAGATAGATAGATAGATAGATAGATAGATAGATAGATAGATAGATAGATATGTATTAGGCTTGGGCAATCCATGGTTCTAAATGGTTCTAAAGTACTTACAAAACTAAAGTTCTGGTGGTGAAAATTTCAGAACTCTAACAAAACTCACAAAATTTCATAATAAATGGCAGTTCCTAATTGGTTCTGTCATTAAAATCACCAATAATGAAATAATAATTAAATTTTGAAAGTTTTGTTAGAGTTCTGAAATTTTCACCACCAGAACTTTAGTTTTGTAAGTACTTTAGAACCATTTAGAACCATGGATTGCCCAAGCCTAATATATCTATATTCACCAGTCTCCTTTGGACATTTTTTTTTAGGCCTGGCTTGTCACTTTTTCCTTCCTTCCTTCCTTCTTTCCCTCCTTCCTGGCTCCTTGCCTTCCTCTTCCTTCCCACCCTGCCTGACCAGGCAGAGAGGCCACTGCAGGTTCCTCCTCCACCATGCGAGCTTGGCCCACCAACCAATCATCCACTTAAGGGCTGGAGGTTTGGCACAGCTGGTAAATCATCAGCAACTATAAGATCTATCAACCAAAAGTTCAAAGCCCCAGGTTGGCGTGAGCTGCCAACCGTCAGCCCTGCTCACTGTTTACCTAAGTAGTTTGAAAACAGCTTTACCTTTAATTAGAGAAATTAGTTACTGCTAAAAGCGGGGGAGGTGCTTTACAACGCCATAAAGAAAAAAAAAAGATCAGAAGATGCTGGAATGAGGAATTCCTGACGACTCTTCATAATGGAGGATGGAGCGACAGCACCCCCTGTAGACTCAAGCCCAACCATCCATGGCATTGAAACAACACCTCCTTCTGTTCTGTCTGTCTGTGTATTGTCTATACACACAGCATTGAATGTTTGCCGTATATGTGTATTTGTGATCCACCCTGAGTACCCTTTGGGGTGAGAAGGGCGGAATATAAATAAAGTGTTATTATTATTATTAGTATTAGTATTGCCAATCTTTTAAAAATGTCTAAAATGATTTTCCTCTGATCAAATCTAATAAGCTTTTCCATTTCTTCTACTTCAATCAGTTTTAGCAGCCATTTTTCTATATTAAGTAATAATGAACTTTTCCAGTTTAAACCATATAACAATCTTGCCACCATGGTAATATATTGCAGTGCTCTTCCATGGATTCCAAGGTTACACATCCTATTTTAAAGCCAACTAAATACAGGCCTGGCGGCGACAGAACAATCATCATCACAAAAAATTATTACCCGCCTCTCCCTGTGGCTCAATAGGGAGAGCATGGGCTATGAAGGAGCAGATGTGACTGACTCAGGGAAGTAATCTGAGATGGGCATTTCCAAATACATAAAAAAAGGGGAACAGAGTCTCCCCACAGAATGAGGCATGAGAAAATGCTAAGAGCAGATCTGCTGTATCACCATCAAAAAAGGCCACGTGCCCCCCATCGTAATTCAGAATCACTCGGATCTTCTCCGGCTTCCTACTCAAGGGCAGAGGAGAGGAACAAAAGGCAGAGGATGCCTGGTATTTCCCTTCAAAGCTTTCCATTGCCCAGATCCCTTCTTCAGGAGTAAACTCAATATCCTCCTTTCTCTTCACGGATTCTCTGGCAACTCCAACAACCCAAAATCCTTCATTTCCTCCAGTGACTTCCCAAGAATGCCTGCCTTCCGTGAATCCCTGAGACCCCAGCACAGAAGGATATTCAGTAAATCTCTCAATATTGTTGGGAAGATCTTGAATCGTGTTGCTCCCCCTTAGGTTTTTTCCATCTTCAGACAACAGGAGTCTAGGATGGGCTGTGTCTGGATCCATTGTTATATCTGCTGTTGGAGGTAAGAGAAGGAGAGCAGAATCAACTGAAGGCTAGCTGACACCCATCACTCTGAATACAGAAGAACAACAAACTTACATAAGCTTTTTTCATGACACTATTTAACAACACAATAGTCTTCTGTTTGTATGCACCAAAGAGTCATCTATTTAGGGTAGTTTGGCCTGGAATAAACATGCCCTTGAGTAGCCAAACCTGATGTGTTTATGCCAAATCCAAGGCAGTTGTCTAGATCTGTGCTTCTTAAATTTTTTCCAATCATGGCTCCTTTCTGCCCAAGACATTTTTAAGCGACCCCAGTTATATATGTATAAAAACCAAACATTCCCTGATAATAAATAAAGTTGATTTTCCTTTTAATGAAGTACACCTGCTAACAGATTCATGTAAATGTCCACAAGAGCCACTAGGAGGCAAAACTTTTATTGTTGTCAAATTTTTCTGAGCTAAGGGGACTTCATTAAATGAAATGTTGATGTTAAGTCTCACCAAGCAGCACCATATAGGTTTTTTTCAGGCTATATGGCCATGTTCTAGAGGCATTCTCTCCTGCCGTTTCGCCTGCATCTATGGCAAGCATCCTCAGAGGTTGTGAGGTCTGTTGGAACTGGGAAAATTGGGTTTATATATGGTAATCAAGGTGGTCAGTTGAAACATTCACACCTAGCTCCAACAGACAAGAGTTCTTTGTCCCACCCTGGTCATTCCACAGATATATAAACTAGGCCTGTCCGGTTTCGTTCGTTAATTCATTAATTCATTATTAATTCGTTATTTTTGGCATTTTTGAAGCGATATCAAAACAGTTTTCCAAACCCGGAAGG